TTCGCCATTTTCTTATTGCATCGAAATAAATTTTTTCTGCCTTCACTGTCTCTTTAATACAGGATACAATGCCTGTAACTCATTTTGTTACAGGAAACACGTCCGATATTAATTAACTGTCTTATAACGTAAATTCGAATTTCACTGAAAAGAGATGAGTTCTTTTAATCTGCATATAGTTTGTTTTGTTTCTGATAAATGATAAGAATTGAAGCTACGGGCCCCATATGAGCCATAAAATAATCAGCACTGGGAACCTTATACGTTTTCGAGGTAAAACGAGCGCGATACGCGTTTAGCGTAGACGTTTAAACGTAGGCGGCTGTGCGATACCCAAACGGCGTTCAGGAGCATCCATCAATGGCGGGCTTATTTTACATCCGTTTTGTATACACGCAAACAGAATACCGACAGATCGTGTTTTGTTTTCCTTAGTTTATGAGTGTTTTTGTTATTTTTTCGAACCGGTTTATATTCCCAAAACGCGAGGCAACGGAGAAACCTAACCTCACATTGCGAGCGCATAGCGATAAAATTCCACCTAAGCGGTTGAAAAAAGAAACCCATTGTTTAGAATATGGTGTTTGTTATTATTTGAAATGTATGGGGTAAAATAATCCGGAGTGCATTTTGATATTATAGAAATATATAATTTCTCATTATACACTCGGAAGATTTGGGCCACAAACACACCGAGCCTGTAGAAATGTAAAACAAAAAATTAGTAACATTAATTTTTATAAATATTCCAACATTATTTGTTTTGGTTTTTTTTCAAACTTAATAAAACTTAACTGTCGCTTTTCCCAGTCTGAAAATTTTCAACGGAATTTATTAAAAACTGTGATCATCATAACGGCTTATGTTTGACATATATAAACAATGTACCTTTATGAATTATTGGCATGTTTGCAAACAAGTCTTTGGAGTTTGGATCATAAAGAATCTGTTGACCGATGAAAAAATGAATTTCTTTAAATCAAGAAAAACAACAACTGTATCAAAAGCCTTAACAAAAATTTTCTGTATTGAAGTAGCATATCATCAAGTATCATATCAGTTGTGTGTTTCCTACGTAATATCTCCAAGAGTGCTTTAAAATAGCGACAACCAATTATGATTTTGTACGAATAAGAATCACTACAACTTCTATTTGTCTCCGAAGACTGATCAATTAATGAAGGTAAGCGTGCAAAGGAGTTGTTTGGAGATATAGCTTCTCATTGAAATTTTTCAAATAGCTTAGAAGTAAAAGTTTAAGATATATGTTTCCAGAACTTCATTGTCTGTTGTTTTTCATTTTAGAATAATATCATCATATTTAGCTACAGTTCATTCACAAGCAAATATCTGCAAGATTATAGTAAAATTAACAAATAACCCCCAATATTTTATTTTACCAGTTAATATTATGTTCCACTTCTCCCCTTCATCTTTTTTCGTCAACCATCCTGTTGGCTTCTTCGCAACTTAACTGAAACGGGCTCGCATTCTACTCTGTACCGCCTTATATATTGTTTGAGGAGACGGAGGTAAAGGAGGGGCATGAACATTGTCTCGGAGGACCTGAGTTGCGGTTGAGGTTGCTTGGTTGCTTATAGATTTCTATGATTCTCTGAACGACAAAGTGTTAGATCTGATTTTATGTTGATAAGAATATCTAAGAATACGAGATAATTATTACCTTCTAATTCAATGATAAAACGTATGCAAGGGTGTATGGAATCTAAATGGCTACAAAAATCTCGGATACTAATTATATTCTAATCAAATTTTCACACAAACTCTTTTTTTTTTTATATCCGTTGCGTACACTATCATGAATATTTAAAATATTTATTGAATTCGGACTGCAACTCCAAAGTTACCTTTTCTACACAATTAACAACAGACGCAATATTATTATAGGGAAATATAACCACGATCTTAGTTTTCCGTAACTCGGTCATGTCTGCGTTCTAAGAAACTCGGGTGTGCGCCCCGTCACGAGAGGGCGCTGCGATCTATAAAAGCGAGCACCGTTCTCTAGAGGAAGTCAGTCATAAATCTCAACCGTATAGCGCAGAAAAATAAATAGTCGAATGAAATAAATAACAAGCGTTATAGAAATTGTTAGTAATAGTAGTATATAAATTATTAGTGCATAAATAGTTTTTTTTTTTTACATGAAGGTTTATGCGGGGTGACAGACCGTCGCGTTTTTACGAATCAGAGCGATTTTAGAAGTATTTTTTTTTCGGGTACGGGATGTAAGGATTGATAAAGGAAAAGATATGAAGAGCCGTTAATAGAAACTCCCCTGCCGATCTCCAGCAAGGTTTCTTTTGTTTGTGCAACAACGAATTCGCCAGTGCGTCAGGGAGGGAGGGGGCCGCCCCTTTCGCCCCGATCTTAAAGGCAAATAATGAGAAACGCTCCGGTTTGCGCTCATTAGCGCGTTCCCCGCGACTAACTTGTAAACCAATACTAATTAGCCAAGTTAGACGTTCGGTTTCGAGATGACGAAAAAGGGAAAAAAGGCACAAAGCCCCGCTATCTAATTAGCGGGGCCGCTTATTTCGGATAAACTGCTACATTTTTCCGATTATCTCGCGCCCAATTAATTAAATTGATGCGACGGCGTGTATATACGCGACATCGACGACATTATTTTTAAATGGCATCTGCGTTAACGGTCGGGACGAGGGAGGGTGGTAGGGGTCGGTGGCAACCACTGCGCCACCGACGGCTAACTTTATTTAAATTGACTGCGTTTTCGTCGACATCAGCATTTCCGGAACTTTAGTCACGGATTGAGAGCGATCGGTTGTTTTTGGTGTCGTTTATCAAACTTGTTGAGTAACATACAAATAAAGAGATAGATTGAAAGAGAGAGAGCGAGAGAGAGAAAGAGACCAACAGAGCAGGCACTGGTAGGGTTGAAAATGGGAATATATATTTCCTTAACACCAGAATAAATATCTTGCCAGCAGGCAAGCTTTGATTTCATAATCTGCAGACCTATCTATCTTTTCTTTGACGAGTAAATTTATTTATTTTGGTGTTTTTAACAATGTATTTTACAACTGCGCAGTTGCCAAGTGTGGCTACTTGTTAAAATGTATGTTAAAAGACCAGATTACGCTATGTAACCTGCTGGTGAAGTGGCAAAAAAATATTGTACAGTTCCCGTTCAGCCTACCAGGGAAATAAATACCTCTTGCCAGCGGGTTAAATATAAGCAGGTGGAATGGGTTTGTCAAAGCTTTATAACCACAGTTTTTCAATTTGCAGATGTATTTTTTAACTGCATCGCATTCTTTTTGTGAGTTCTATTGTTGTTAAGATATTACTGTTAGGCAATAGACGCCAATTAGATACCAAGAGGTTAGTTTCGGTTAGTTTGAGGTTGAAAAAAATTTCTGCCGATCGATAACTTGTTCCTACAGTAGAGTATCTAATCACCGAGTAACTTTAACCAGTCGGTCGATAATATGACCCTCACGGGTATAAATTAAAGGCGTGTCCGCGTATTGTACGAAAATAAATAATAAAATAATAAGCCGGCAGTGGGTTAAAATAGATACGCGTGTTGCTCTACCGCAATTATAACTAATTAAATGAAACCAATCCGACGATATTGTTATTAGCGTAAATAAATTAAACGTCTCACCATACAACAGCAATAATTGAATCGCTGATTGTAATTTATAGATTTGTTTTGATGCTCGGTTCATAAGACGCTTTCCTATTTGCAATTTTTCATATCGCCACACACTCATTATATCATTATATACGTCGTAAAAATAAATTGGACGCCCGAGATATTTTCGTTTGTAATTTTGAAATTCGCTAAATTGATTAGGCGTAATTTAACGGATGGGTAGTTTGCCTCGTAAAGAGAAAAACGTTATTGGAAAATGAACCGGGGAACGGGTGAGTGACGCGGGGGGGGACCCGTTGCCCACGCAGTAACGAACGCGTTCGGATATTAAACAACAGAAAAAAAACTTCAATATATTTTGTAATTATACGAACGACCGATTAGTTTTAGTTTACGAAAACGCGAAAAAATTGTCATTGTTGCGCTTTCGCGCAAAAATAAAATAAAAGAACGATCGTCCGTTGAGAATGTTGCAATTTTGCTTTCTCGCGGGTTTTGAAAGAGCGAAATAACACAGAAAGTCCAAAAGATAGTTTTATATATTATATTATATATATATATATATATATATATATATATATATATATATATATATATATATATATATATATATATATATATATATATATATATATATATATATATATATATATATTAAACATCTCGCTGACGTCTGTTAGTAATTCTATAGTCTTTTTTTTATTTTTAAATATTTTTGTTCAACTTAGACAATCAAAATTTCTTCGACTTCCTTGATAGAAATCTAACCTCAACCTTCCAAGGCATGCATTGCTCATTTCTTTTGAGATTTGTTGTGTCTGTGAATTTAACGCTTTCGTCAGTTTGGTTAGGTTTAATTAGGTTTGGTCTTCATTAATTTTGGTTAATTTTGCCTGTTTTAACTAGTTTTAATTATAATAACCCCCGTAAATAAATGTTGGCAAATTCACTTTCAGAATAGGTCTACGAGGTCAGATCAAAAAGTGCGGCTACCCTTTTTAACGGAACACCGTTTCCATGAACAATAAATCTGTTTTTAATTAAATTGCATGTTTATAGACTTGTATGTGTTCACCTTTGATCAGTTTTTGTTAGTTAAATAATATAACTCTTTATTTAATGTGGTAGTGGGCCTGGCAAATTGACTGAAAACAAAACGATCGATTAAAGTTTTTAAGCCAACCTTATTGTTATTAAAATTAAAATTGCGCATTTTCAAAAAAGAACAGAAAAATGTGAAACCCACACGTCATTCTATTTTAAAAGATAAAAAAGAATTTACCGCAGGAGTCCATAACCTAGCTTTGCCCACGGCGAGACGAAAAAAAACATCATCGAATAGAAAACTCCAACTTACCGCTTTAATCTTCGTGCCGTTTTTCTGCGTCGCGTGGTCGTCGAAACCGCGGCGGCGTCCCCGGAAAACCAAAATCGCACCCACCAAAAAAATAAACAAACAACAACCGCCCCCGTCGACCGAGAAAATATCGGAAACAACGTTATCGCTAGAAACAACAAACTTGACGTCAACGGCGTGTCAACAACTCAACGTGTAGTTCGTTTAGAGATGGAGCAGTACGTCTTCGCGCGTCGACTTACACTCTCGCAGTGCGCGTTCAGCTCGCGACCGATTTTCCGCCTTTGGAGCTTTGCGGCGGATCGCGCAGCACGTTAAAGCTCTCGCGGGGAAACAGAACGAGTGGTGGGAGAATGAAACGAGGGGAATACGGCATTCGGGAGAGGGGCGCGGGAGCCTCCTCGTGTCAAACGTGTAATAAACGCTCGGAACGGTTTTGATTGACGGCAGCTTATCGGTTTGGATTTCGCCTAATTGATGGAAGCCGCAAGAGGATCGGCGGGGGTCGGTGGAGAACGGTCCCATCGTTCCTAATCTACGAATGTTGGTCGAACTTCATCGAGCTTCTTGCAGAAATACACGGGTGAATCTCAATGTCCACCGAAATGTGAAAAGAAACTTAGCAGTTGCCTTATTACTTCAGCTTCAACAGTCTTCGACACGATCAGTTTCATGATAATTAATGAAGAAAGTGACTCACCAGCGTTACTACTTTTTTTCCATTTTAAAGGGTTCTTGCTTTAAAAAAAAATATTAATCCTCTGTTTCTAGTAAAGGAAATACTGAAAAAAAATCGCATCCGCTAAAAATCAGCTTCAGACACACTGCTATTGTTCACGAGTAACAGCTTTGCACACTATGTCAGTATAACATTACAGCAGGTTGGCCGGTCTGTCATCCCCTAAGCTTATTTCTAATATTTCTAAATTGCTTCCTTGACCCTTCGTCGAGGACATGTTTACGTAAAAATAAAAGATAGCATGTTATTTATTATATACATGCCATCGTAAGCTGTTTATTTTATATATGTGGATGAATATATTTCAACCACTTCAGTTCACATGTGCACCATTTTAGCATTTTGAATATTACTCAGTTTTATAACAAACACGATTGGGTAAAGTTCGGTGTACTTTTTCGGTGTATGTTTTGAAAAAAAAAATTCAAATGCCCAAGAAATTTTTACAAGCTGAAACTGAAAATGAATTGCAAAGTATTGACGAAATGATAGATTGGATAGTGATAATGTTAGTGACTCTAGTAGTGGTAGTGATATTATAGTTACAAAAAGACAGAGAACCGTACCTTTACCATCAAGTTCTAGCGGCAGTGAAGAAAACGAGAATATAACACAACCAGGTAATTTTGGTCCATGGCAGGACGTCGCATGCCACGATCAGGTACCAGACAGAATTATATTGACTTCCGGGGATAAAATGGTAGGACCACAAATTCCTGATAGTTCTACAAAACCCATAGATTTTTTCAAGTGCTGTTTTACCGATGAGCTAATAATAAAAATAGTGGAACAAACAAATACCTACGCTTAGCATAAAGTAGCATAGAAGAGGTTGTCAAAACGTGGGTATATCTACTACAGTAGAAGAGTTTACCGCATTTATTGGGGTTGTCCTAAATATGATAATCTTAATAATAAAATATGACAATCTTGTCCAATTTCCAAAAGTTTTGGTCACAACATTCTAACGCCAAAATACCTTTTTTTAGTGGCATATTTAGAGAAAGATTTTTACAAATTTTTTGGATGCTCCACTTGCATCGAACTCAGAAAGTCAATCAATATTTAGAATATTTGGACAAGCAATTCAAAGGATATTTTCTTCCATCAAGAGAGATATCGGTAGACGAATCTGTTGTTGGCTTTAGAGGTAAAATTAGTTTTTTAACTTACAATCATTACAAGCATACGAATTTATGTAGGTAATGGCGGATACCATCACCGAATATATTTATTCAATTTTGCCGTATTAAGGAAGCTTGACAGCGGAAGATTTGGTGAGACCTGATTTACCTGTAAGCACAAGGATAGTGTTATATGTGTGTCAAAAAATGTTAGACAATAACCCAGGATGAAGAAGATATCATTTTTACACCGATAGATACTATACGAGCTTACAACTTGCAGAAGAATTGTTAAAACTAAATGTTCATTTGAGAAGTACTATTCAAATCAGCCGCAAATTTAGACCTGATTCTATCAAAACACCAACATTTGTGGAAGATAACACATTTGCATGCAGATCAAGTAATTTAATGTTATTGGCATATTTCAGAAACACAGCCTATTAACAGAAGAGTACGTGGAGGTACGATTACAATACATTTATGGGAAGTGTCGACCACACAGCGTCATACTGTTTCCTGAGGAAGTCTTTAAAATAGTGGCGAAAGTTATTTTTCTGAGGACTCGAAATGTTTAGTGTCAATGGATATTTTTTATATAAAATTCCATAACGAGCCAAAACAAAAAACCAATGACACCTCTAAAGTTTGTTCGGGAATTGGTTGACGAGATCACAAGAAACTTTCGACAAGGGTCCAAAATTTCTGAAGATCTGTAGATACAGAAGAGCGGCTAAATGGTAAATCACATATTTTACGCCAAAGTGATGAAAAAAAAATTACTGTGTGGTAAGTTCTAACCGTGAAGTACAAGGCGGCTGGCGGGAAACTAAGTATATTTGTGACACTTGCTGAACATTATAAGATGTAATTTTTTTATATTGTGTATGAATTTATTTAATAATAACGGTAGTGTTTATGATAATAGTTTTTATAAAGCGATTTTTTTTAATTCAGAAAAAAACAATATAAAAAATTCGAGTAGACAGATAAGTAGATAAAATAATAGTCCGAGTGGAGTGTACTCGCGAAAGGACATATATATGCGTGCAAAGGATTAATACCTAATCGTTATTATTTTCTCCAAAGTTGGCCTAAGATCTTGACAAATATTGTTGCACAATCCTACGGTGGATAATATTATCTTACATTACTGATAGCGGATAGCTCTGATTGCTTTTGATTCACAATTTTGTTGTTATTGAATCAAACTATCGCGGTATTTTTGTAAGATGTAGAATTATTAGAGTTAATAGGAAAAAAATTAATAACCAGTGGCGTAGAACGAATTAGTATAATTAAATTAATTGAACATTCTCTCTCCCTCTCTCTTTCTCTCTATCTCTCATATATACGGTACATACAGATTATACTGCAACGGCGATGACCATTTTTTACTACATCGTATTTTCGGCGGTTGAGGTTTTCAGATCTGAAGCGGACGCATAAGCAAAGATTATGTTAATTTCCCGTCCTGGACAATGGGGGAGAAGTAAACAGTTTTGGACCGCGGTTTTTTTCCGCCAATCGCCGATCAATTTAAACAGTTTTAAGAATACATTTTTTTTTCGGTATATAACTAGAATCTCTTAAATAAATGGTTTTGTTGTACTTCTACTTTTAAACAAACCTAAAATTGCTGTTGGAAATCCAATACAGGTTCGGGATATTTCGCCGTTTAAAAGAGCGCACTGCAAAATAACCCTATAACAAAGGGATCACGTATTTTATATTACGATCAACAAAGAAAAACAGAAATGTCACTTCAAGAATAAAGTTTCGTTTTTTCCGCTAATTTGACCATTTTTTATTCACCAATTTTTGAGGACCAGTGGCGCAACAGTCGCCTAACCTATGACTGGCGAGATCATCCAAGCATGGAATATAGATTCAGGGGTGGCCAGATCTGGCAGTGATAGTCGGCACGTGCCGCCACCACTGCGGCTACTGATACGGACAGATCACGTGGCCGAGATTTTTACCATGCTTGGTGATATTTATTTCCCCAGCATTAGACGGTTTACTTTTGGGATTTAAATAATTACTTGTCCTGATTGCTTTGTGACGCGAACCATTTTCCCATGCCCTCCGCCGCCCACTTTTATTTCCAAAATACGCTTTTTGTGTTTCCCGTATTCGATGTAATTCTGACTCATTTTCTTAGATATTATTTAATAAATACGTTATACAATGCGTCCAAGATAAGGATGTCTATCATGGATATTGGAAACCATTGCAAAATATGAGGGTTAATAAAAAAAACTAAATTTTTCGATTTGGTTTTTATCTTTTTCTGATGTTATTTAAAGACATATAAAAAAATAAAGGTCACTTTCTCGTTACCACTTTTTGAGTTCTACAAGGTACCGTTGAAATATTTAATGTGCGACGTTTCGTGTTGGCGAAATCATCAATTTCGCTATTTACTTTTGCTATTACTGTGGTTCGAACAAATATTCTTATGGGGAAAGTTTTTATCTTTCTGACACTTCCTAGTATACCTTAAACTGTTCTTCATCGCCTGAGTTAGGCGCTGGACAAATTCTAAATTTGAACTGGTGAGATTTTTGTTTTCTCAATATTAAATGAGCAGTCGATTTCGCGATTCCAGTTGAACGGTCTGCTAAAGATTTACAGTTAATCTTTTAAAAATGTTTGTACTCGGTTGCCTTCTCTCTGGCTACTTATTTAAATACATACGCCCAGCTCCAACGGTTTTACTATACAGCATAGCACAATATTGTAGCTTATATAACTTCTCCCTAAATGAAAAAGCAGGTTCTATTTTTTATAGCAAAAAATAACGAACAACAACAACGTTAAAAATTTCCTTGTACCCATATGTCAATAAAAACCACACCAAAACAAATTTGATAAAAACTCTTTCTCGTGATTTCAACAATGTATACCCATATTGTGTCGTACATCGTTGTATTCCTATACGAAAATGCTATTTAATACATTGTGTAATTTTTTCTACTGACCATATAAACAACTAAAAACTTGAAGTCTTGAAAACAGTGCATGAATAAACCTGTGATTAGATCGTTATGTACAGTGAAATGCCTCAAAACGTTGGAGTCAGATTTTCTTTACAATAACGTTTGTTTTATTATATTGATCGCGATTACGAAACCATTCAAAGATACACATTTTACAAACCGCAAGGTGGCTGACTGACTTATACCTACCCCTGTGTAATACTACCCTCTAAACGAATGGAAGGTTTAATATAATAAATAAAATGGTACACGTCAAGATACCATTATTCTATTCGATTCAGTACTCAACAATTCGATTAAAATGTTTTTCCAACTATTATCAAAAATCAAAGATGCTGACCGAAACGTTGAACGTAACTATAAATAAAGACAATGGATGTCCAGTTATCTTCTAACAATCAACATG